CTTTTTTTGTTTTTTTTTTTTTCGCTCCCTCATACTCGCATCTCCCTGCGGTCTCTGTGCAAACCCTAGCTCACAAATCTCTCTATCACATCTCGCAGTAGTTGATATCATCCAGTGCAAAAAAAAGAATACAAAAAGAAAACAACAAAAACGCAGAGGAAAAACTCTTGGAAGGAAAAAGGAATTTTATCAACGCGGTGTCTGAATTTGGGATTACGGTAGCGCACGTTTTGTGCGTCGAGGTTTTGCATCACGAAAATTGCGTCACTCGTGCTTTTTACGCGTTTCACCTCGCGAAATGAGTTGAATTGAATGTATATACCTCCAATGAGTAAACTGTAATAAAGGGGAGCAGAATTATCCATGGGCATTAGCAATGCCCGCCGCCCCAACTAAGAACAACTGAGTGGCCTCCGTCGGAGGACATCTAGCAAGTAAGGCGGTCCAACTGAGCGTTAGAACTAGAACTTACAGCGGCTGTAGCTCGCTTCTCGCTCGCTGTGCAGACGAATAGAGTGGGACAGTCTCTAGCTTGGGGGCTGTACTACTTGCACAAGGAAGGACGACCATGTACTACTCGAGCGCGGGGGCTGTCTTCAACGCTGGTGGACGCTATTGGCCCACTCTAATTTCTCCTGCTCAATCAACGATTCTTTTTTTCACATTCTTGTAAGGATTTTGTCCTTAAAGATGTACAAACCGGTTCAAGAGGATAAACGTATTTCACTATGTTCCTTTCTATATAACTGTATACCTTTTATTGTCGCATCTGTTCACAATCTGGCCGGATTTGAACTGAAGTTTTCCTCAGGATTAAACTGCCGCCGATTCTTCTATCGAAGGCAATTCGACCCCTTGAACCCCAGAATCGCAACCGACGGCGCCTTTCGCTACTACAGTCTTGTACGATGTGGATGCTGAGCGTGTCAGAGGACTGGGTTTGGCACAGTGCCAGCCAGTTTTCCGCCAACTGTGGTCGTCTGCCAGCTTTCACAACTGTTGAAGAACGGGCTGGTGCCACGCCAAACTCAGCCTCCTACCACGCCCCAGCATCCGCACCGAGCACGATGGGCAATAATTGACCGCTGGAGAGGGGTATGATGACGCCCTTTTGAAGGGAAACTGCTATGCAGCTCGTTTTTTCAGGAGCTGCCCCTTCCTCCCCCTCGACAGTTTTTGGGGGAGAAGTTCTAATAATTCTTGGGAAATTTGGGCATGAGGAAGGAAATTGTCAGGATAAGGTGGGAAGGGAAGGGGGGTGCATAGGAGGAAATCAGGGGAGGGGGAAGGGTGGTCATATTTTGCAAAAATTTTGCACAACATCACAGTACACCCTGCTGCAGATGAAATTGAAAACCCTCACAAGAAATGTGCTCCATGGGCAATCTAGTCCGTAGAAAACTCACGGACATTACACCTGCTCTGAAAAAGTGACGGCTGTTTTCAGTTTCGCATAAAAGTTTTCCTCACAATGTCTGTATTGTGCAGAGAGCTTTTTCACCATTCTATTCTGTTTGGAACCCATGTAGCAATTTTAACTGTTTTAGGATTTTGAAGCTATAACCTAGCCATTGACATATGACAGTACCGGTAATAACTTCTTTCAAATTATTACCCGAAATCGTTTCAGTGCTTATGGCGCAATCGTTCACACGTGCTGAGCGCTCTGGTAATATATTTTATCGAGTCACTGGGCTAATCCGATCCGGTCAGATGAAATGGTCGGAAAGGCCATTATGGTGAGTCGATTGCGTCATTCTGATGTCACTCTCCTGGCAGAGTATTTCGCCATAAAGAAGGCTTTTTAATCTCACTTTACGGTCTCCAGTTTCGTTTCAGTGCTTTCAATAATAGCAGTTCGGGATAACAACTTCTGGGTGTAGAGTTAATATCTGGTTTCAGGTACGATGTTTACGTAGCCCATCCCCCGTTAGCCCCTCATGACTGGAATGTTAAGCACCCAAAGTATGATGAACCGGTGGGTAGTTTGGATCGCTTCGATTTTGTCAATGTTTTCTACTTGCTGCTTCGTTTGCTCTTGTTTTCAACACGTGTGAATTCGATGATCCATTATAATGGGCACTATTCAACTATTGCTACCCCAACATGTC